ATTGTTTAGAATCAGCAGCTTTTTCTAGGGAAAGAAAATAATCAAATCTTTAGAAAGTAAGAAATATGAACTTGATGGATATAGGCAAGACCCATTGCCACGGGACAATGAATAAAGCATGTTTCAGGTGCTTCAGGTGATAATACTCAGAAGAAACTCAGACATTCATCTCCGTAACGCACTACAAAATAAGATGGGGAGGGAGGTATAGCGCAATCAATTTGTAAGATACATATATTTCTTTACTTTTTTTTCTTTTCTTGCACTTTACTTTTTTTCTTTTATTCCATGGGAAAAAAATAAATATAAATTAAAAAATAAACTATAAGGCAAAATTTACAGAATGCAGAGAAAATCTAACCCCTCCATACTTCTGGTGGCAGTATCTATAGAGGGCTGTTAAGAGTGTATGCAATAAGTGCTCAAACATCATGTTTCCTTCATGTTAACTTTCATAGCTAGGCCTATTCATGCTTCCTTGATTTCTACTCTCTCTTTTGAAGCCTAATCTTTCAGTATAACATCTGTACATATTTTTCTTGTTGTTCGGTGTTCTTAATAGCCTCCAAATATTATTATAAACAGATTGTTTTGGTGTCAATTTGTGTATTGGGGAATATCTCTCAGAAGACCTTGGTCTCTCCAGATTACTAGACACTAATCTTAAGGTTTCAATATTAGTAAAAAGGGATAGTTTTTTTTTTATTTTGACCTTATCAGGTGTGTCTCTTTTTTAACCTGCATTGCCTGGACATAAAAATGGGCTGAGTTTTGCTTACCTGCTTGTGCCTGCCACTTTGCAGCCAACGTTGGTCATTTTGGATATCATTAGCCTTGCTCTTCTAAGTCTGGGTGAGAAGGTGGTGGAAACCAATGTTATCTTGAAAGCACTAATTTGTGCAACATTTGGTTATTCTGGTTACGTGTGGTAAAACTCTTTAGAAATTTGCAGATTTCCTTACTGCAACCCAGAATCAGTGAGCACCATGTCTACAGGATATTTGAAAGGCTACTTTCCACTCCCAAGGCCTTGCTTCAAAGATCAGGTCCAGTTGCTTCAAAATCCAATCACATTCCCACCTCCGTGTCTTCACGTTTCTTTCAAAGAGCTTTGAGTGATATCAGTGCAGAGTATATTAGGATAATGAACAGTAAATATACAATCTCAACAGAGTTTAATTTATTTCTGGACAAACATTATAGATCTAGTCTAGTTTTTGTGAAGCACAGTTAGTCTGGGAGGTAAACAAAGGTTTTGTTGTATCCTAAAAAAAACATTTTTTTAAACTGATTTCAGTGACATTTGCTCTGTCCTTAAGAACCCTATGTTCTGTTGGTTATAAAAATGGAAGGCACAACTTTTAATCAGTATAGTCTTAATATTATTTTACAGTTATATATATATCCATGTGTTTAAAAATAAAACATGCTCACCATGAGCTACATAGAATAGTTCATTTTAAAATATTAATATTTGTAAATAAGCATAACCCAAATAAGCTGTCTTCTTGTTATAGATATGTATAAATATAATATGTACTTGTCCTGAATTCATATTTAAAAATACATTTTAAAAGGCAAAACAAAAATAGCACATTTAGTGTTTGTCAGCAAGATAAAAAGATTTAAACCTTTTAACAACAGATTGACATAAGCATACTTAATTTTACCTATGGGAACACATAGGCTAATAAGCAGACATATGGAAGAATCTTAAATTGAATTTTAAGATTGTGTGAGAATATTGCTAATCATCATTGCCATAATGGAGAAAATGTTCCAGCAATCTCTTTATATGTTTTAGTGGTCAGTAATAGTTGTCTAAAATCAAATAAATGCAGTAATGTACCTTTATACCTAACCTCCAGGGGAGAAAAAAATCTTTTCACTAACCTCTCTATGCTGTCTTTAATTCACAGAACAAATAACTAAATGAAACTGGACTGATGCTATATGGCAGCATCTCTGTCAAAGTAGAATACAGATCAACACATCTTTTCAGATCTTGAATCTTTTGCAGAATGAGAAAAAAAAAATCTGAAAATGTACATTCAAGTAAAACAGATGTTCTGTTTTCTGAGGTTTTTTTTTTTTAAAAAAACAACAACCCCAGGATCAACTGATAACTTACAGTTCTATATAAAATATTTGTCCCTTTTTGGAGTTTTTGAATCTTTATCCCTAAATGCTTTCAGAGTTTCACTTGTGTTCTTCTGATACAGTAAGGGAGCTAAGGAAATAAAAATTAGGAAAGTTAGACACTTCTTTATTTGATTAAAACAAAGCATCCAACTTAGGATGGAAAAAGCAATAGTGGAAAGAAAGCCACTGACTGAATTGCTTCACTTGATTTAACTCAAGGGATAACTAAGTTGAAAATATTTTAAATAATCAGTTTGCAATGAACCCTGGCTACCCTCTTTACAGTGAAGTTTTTACTACAAAGATCCTGAATGCACATTATGCCACACTAAAACATTTTTTTGAAGACCACTGTAAAAAAATTATTGATTTCTATCAGCCTATAAAAGGCTATAAAACTATTCCTAAATTTCTCAGGCTACACCAATCCAGACCTAGTTAGAAATAGGGATGAAGTATTAACATTTTCTCAAGAATAACCATCCTGTCAAAAGCATTCCAATAGCATAGAGTAAAACAATGCAAAAATGTTACAAAGAACCACAGAAAAATATTCAAGGATATGCAGTCTCTATCACTTTGACCAAAGTTAGTGTTCATTATTCAGCATCAGAAAAATACTGGGTAAAAATGAGATTCAAATGAGAATAGCAGGAAAGGAGCCATGGCTAACTAATAAGGACATACTCTCAAATTTATTAAACAGATACTTTCAAATTTGCTAAAAAGCACCTAAATAAATCTCCAGACTTCTAGAAGAATGTTCCAAGGAAATGCTAATTTAAAATGTCATGGTTGGGAACCTAGATATCTTGCTTACAAAGAGTCACTTGAGAACGAAATGGGTGGCATATAAATTCAATAAACAAAATAAACAAAATACAAGTGTAACATGGCAATTACAACAAGAGTTTAATTCCTTGCACCTAAAGATCGCACATGTAGTTATTCAATCTAAAGTGGCAAAGACTGGATCACTTCGTTTAATTCATAATTGAAACAAGCAATAAGCCTTACTGCTATTTATTCACTCAAAATTCTTTTCTGTTAGCAGACTCCACCCGAAGCTTTGGCGAAATTCATTTCAAAGATATGTAAAAATTCATACAACTTGAAAGGGGGCAAGTCCATTAAAACTTTGGAATCCTCCTTATCCAATTTATAATTTAATATATTTCTAGAATACTATATTCAGCACAGAAGCATCTTTCTTAAGAATAAAACTACATTCAGTAGAGAAACCTTTATTGCCTTCTGTACTATTGGCTATGAAACAGCATCAATAGACACCCGATACGATACAAAAAAAATAGGCATACTTGTTTTAAGTCCCAGAAAAATGAAAGGGGTACAATTACCTAGAAATTCTGACACAGAATTTAAATCAATGGTATCATGATAGCTCGTATGAAAACAAATATTTCAAAAATAAGATTGACAATGTAATAATGATTTTGGCTTGTTTCATGATTAGTTAGGAAAAAAGCAGCTTTCTCAGTAAAGTTCTTCTCTCATCACTGGCCAAAACGTAACTTGAGATAGGAGAGAAAGAGGTGAGAGCAGTGAGGAAGGTCAGCAATACCTAACAAATGCTTAATTTGCTAGGTTTGATCAGAAACAACCACTGCTGCCCAAAAGCCAGATTTTCAGATGTTTCTGGCTAACCTCATTGAACTGGGGAAAATGAAAACTACAAGAGTAATGTTTTTGAACTGTGGTGGAATTCCCAAAGATGACTGAAATGTTTGTTTCTACAAAAGCTGACTTAATAATCTGTATTGCAACGAAGAGAAATTATAGTTTCCAGCATGCTTTAAAATAAAAATACTGTATGCATTATAAGAGGGCTCTCTTATGCCCTCCTAGTTTTGGTGGACTGTTCAATAGTGAAGTATAAGATTCAGTATTGGCACTACTGATAAAAAGTTAAAACACAACATCCAGTGTTATACACAAATGCACATCGTTGTTCAAGTTGGCTTCCCTTCTTTTTTCCTTAAACCTACGAACAGTCCATGTGAATCTCCCAAACATCTGGAGAAATTTGGAGAGCAAGGAAAGAGAAGCCCATCCTGCTAGAAATGTAACTTGTTCATAAAATGGACACAATTACATACAACTCAAATATATGAGTTATTTTAGACAAAGCTCAAATAATTATCTTTATATGAATATTATTAGCATTTGAGTGCCAGACAGATTTAAAAAAAGATGTAAAGTCTTTTATAATTTGGATACTTCACTGTATGTGTAGAAAATAGCTCTAACCAAATTGCTGTATTAGTAAAGATAATATTTTAAATTTGTTTTCAGACCCCTAATCAGCTGGGTAATCATTTTTTTCCCCCAAAAAATGATTTGCTTGATTAAAGTTGGTAATTCTTATCACATCGATGCAGTTCTAAATTCTCAATTCTAAACATATTTGCTAATGTTCCAAAATAATGAGATCCCTTAATTTTACATCTTGTATTGGAATTCAAATAGTGAACAAAGAGAGGCCAATGGAAAACAGTCAAAAAAGGCGGAATGCTCATCTCTCTCTTTTTTCATGATTGATAATATGATAGCCGAAAAGAAAAGATCAGATGTTGCTGTAACTGAGAATTTCCTTGCTACAAAAAGAAACTATCCAAATGAAACTGGTGGAGAAATTCTCAGCTCCATCAGAGACTGTCGGGGAATTTCAGTGGGCTGTTCCTTCAGTCTAGCAAAATGGTCCCTTAAAAAATAAATATATAAATTAAATATTAAATGGTAAATAAATTCTAAGATTAAACAACTCATTATATTGCATTTACTAGAAGCGCCGAGGCTCTCGCTTGAAAATACCAGTCTGAATGGATGGATGAAACTATTTGAATAAAATAGGTTTCATACTTCGAGACATTCAGGTTCTAAGTCCTTCCAATGGTTATATCTTAAAAGTGAACGTCAAAACTTAAAATGATTTTATCTTTCACTTCTCAACTGTATTGTTTTACTACTAATATCCTACTAAGATTAAATGCTTTACAAACATTTAAGCGTATATCTTCTAACATTTACAAGATACTTTCAACTGGAATCATTTGGCAAGTCTTGTATGAGGAATACAATTATTATTATTATTAAGACCATTATTTAAATCTTCCATATTTTACCTTCATATTAAGAATCAACCTTTCCCCCCCATGCTTCACAAAAATATATATTTTCTCTTTGAAAAAAAAAATCATTAGAAATTCCCAGCAAGCAGAATCATCAGATCGGTTCTATGTAGCAACATGTGAATTGTGTCACTGAGTGAAGCTCTTCTTGATGAGCACATTAGGGAAGCTGGCATTCAGTTCTAGGAAAACTCGGTGATCGATTTGTGAACAGAAGGACACATCGAGTAAGGACAATTCTTTACAAGACTCCAGCAATTTTCTTAGGGAAGCCGGGCTTACCATTCTTGTCCCTGGAAAAGAAGAGAACAAAAAGTTAAAGAAAAATAAAAGGAACATTTAAAGAAACAAAAATCACCGGGCTATTTAAGAAAAGCGACAATGCTCCTAATTAATGTAAAGCTTTCGTTTTAAAACTTTTTTTTCCCCTACTGCAACCCGTAGCATTTTTAATCCTTTCAAATATTATTTTTGTTTTATATTATGCATTTCTTATAAGTCACTTTGGATGCTGGTATACAAATAGAAAGCTGGAATATAAATTAAATAATACTGAGCCAACGTGGAAAAGAGATGAAAGAATCGGATTCTTCATTCAACTCTATAATTTCCTGGATCGTTTGGCAAACCACAACATTTCACACTATTTAATCTCCTGAACTTTTTGTTATAAACAAAAGGGCCCATTTTATCCTCTTCTCCGCTAACTGATCTTTCCCTTTTCCAAGACAACTAGAGAGAGAGTTTGTTCAATGAACCTGTGTAGTATTGATGCCATCTTATCAATTATGTGGACCAATTAAGATCACAGTCACCCCAGAAAGTGCAACAGGAAAAAAAAATCTACTGTTATAAAATGTGGCTTAGTTAGCTATTACAATAATGTGGTATCTGTGCTTGAGGCCAAGTGGTGAAAAACAATGGTCAAGATAGCATAGCTGGATTGTAAACCGTGGCATATTTACAATGCAACCACAAGCCTATCTTATTTAAAACTAGCTGTACCCGGTCACGCGTTGCTGTGGCTCAGTCTGGTTAAATGGAAAAGAAAGAAAAGAGAAAGCGCACGTTTGTAATGTGTTTAATTTCACAATGCTTGTGGGTATACAATATTTTTTGTTGTTCCATTGTCTGTGCAGATATAGAGATTGTCTGGTTTGCCGACTCTAGAACACGCAACATATAATTGTCCATGTGAGAAGCAATCCGTGTCTAGATCTAAACCGCACAATTCTAAAGATTGGCCCTGAGCTTTGTTGATGGTGATTGCAAACGCC